TTGGCTTTGGCTTAAGTAAACCTCACTCTGTTAAAACGCCTCTGTGCATCCGCAATTTTTATTTCAATCCTCAATTTTTATTTCAGTGAGACTGAGAGCCCACCATGAGTCTTCAGTATCAATATCAGTACTGTTATTTTAGTCTTATGTTAGAGATGAAAATCTCAAAGCCAGAGAAATTAGATAAGTTGGCTAAAGTCACACATCCAATAAAAGGCAAAGCTTGAATTTGAGCCGAGGGGGTTGATTCTAGAGGCCAAACCTAACAGAAGTTATTTGACCTCTCCAAGGCCTGTCACTTCCTCAGAAGGACACAAGGTGTGATTCCCTTCACACCTTTTCATCCACGTTTAGCTTCATGTGGGTGCCTATGAAAACACAGAGCTTTAGTATGACTTTTTTCTCCCAAGGATATTTCACCTTGGAATAGTCGAGCATGCTTATATCTGGTTTACTTGGTCTTTGCCTCTGGTGGACATTGAGCACCAGTTTTCCACTAAAGATAGTGTTTCAGTAGAACACCACTGTCCATGCTCTGTGCATGGACAAGGGTTTCATGTGTCCTCAGCCAGACACCAAGAGATGGAGCCGCCAGGCCCACTGTTGGCCAGTTTGACCTTAACAGCCATTTTCCTCACTCCCCACAGCTCTGCCTTCTGCACCTCTTCTTCCCACTCCACCAAAGAGGCCTCCTGCTTATCAGTGACATTCTACTCGACTCTCCTCTCCTATTGTGTGACAGAGTGGAAGCTAACACGCTCCTTCCTAAAACTCTGCTGTAGGCATCCAGGATGCTGCAGCCATCTGGATCCTTGGCCTCACTGGCTGTGTCTTCTCTGTCTCTTTTGCCTGGTGATTCTCACACTGTGGTGAGCACAACATCACCTGCAGGGCTGGGGAAATGCAGAACCCAGGCCTCCACCCTGTTGGTTTAGTAGGTCTGGGTGAGGATAATGAATGTCCCCTTCAACAATATAACCCTCATAAAATATAATTCGTTTCTGTAAATAGTCTTGGAAGAACACACAAAGCTCTCATTCACCTGATTCAGGGTGAAGCTGCATCTGTCCGAATTGCAGGAAATGCAAAAGGAATCTAATTTGTGTGATTTCTAGGCGTATAAGGTGGAAGATTATTTGCCTAGGATGTTTCTAGGGAAAGTCCTACACATTTATTGAGTCAGTTAAGCTGTATTGTAATTTACCTTGAATCCTTAATCACTTAAGCATTTCCCCAGGATCTTGATTACACTGTTAATTTGCTTAGCAAACACTTCCTCCAGAGTTTAACAGGAAGCGTGAGATAAACACAGAGAAGTATACAGATCCCTGGTTAATGAGGCCCAATTAATGAAGCTGGAGCTTGATGTGGGCTTAATTTGGATCTCAGCGGCTAAGCCCATGAGAACCTACAAGTTGCTAAGATACCAAGCAGATGGGACCTGGGAGGGTGGAGTCCAGAGGAAGCAGTGTCACCACACCGAGTGACAGTCCCTCTCAATTAGGTGCAACGTGGTATGAGAACTCTTTAGATGGACTTTGGCAAAAAGAAATGCTCTGCTAAATGATTGAATGTGGAAATAATTCATCTTCATTCTGAACACATCAGGTCAGCGATCAAACTTAACTTGCAGAAAAATGGGTCTGTAGAACCTGCCCTCCAGATAAATTAGAATAAGGACTGTGTGTTTTAGAATCTGCAGCGCCAGGAGGGCAAATACCGGATCAATCTCTCCCACCCCAAGCACTCACCTGAGCACCACTGCTGGGAGGACAAACTCAGCTACAGGAATTTCTCAGGACACAATTAACATAGGAGGCTGATAAGAGGGCAAAGGAAAAGAAACTTCAGAAAATAAAATTCTCATTAGTTGTCTTCTTACTGTTAAGCAGTTTTTTTGGGTTTGGTCTGGTTTTTTTGGCAGTACCAGGGTTTAAACTCAAGGCTTTGTACTTGCTAGGCAAGCGCTCTACCACTAGAGTCAGGCCCTAGCCTTCCGGCTTTAGGTTATTTGTCAAGTAAGTTCTTGCATTTTTTGCCTCGGTTGGGCTCGGACCAAGATCCTCCTACCTATGCCTATTGCACATAGCTGGGATTACAAGTCACAATGCCTGGCTTGTTTGTTGAGATGGGATGTCATTTTTTGCCCATGTTAGCTGGGAACCACACCCTCCTGATCTCCACCTCCTGAGTAGCTGTGACAAAGAGACATGTGCCACCACACCTGGGCCTTGTATTCATTCTTAATGAGTCAACTTAAGGTAGGCTACTTTTTTTTTTTTTGATTACAAAATTCTTTTTTTTTTCATTTTTCTTTTATTATTCATATGTGCATACAAGGCTTGGGTCATTTCTCCCCCCTGCCCCCAACCCCTCCCTTACCACCCACTCCACCCCCCTCCCCCCCCCAATACCCAGCAGAAACTATTTTGCCCTTATTTCTAATTTTGTTGTAGAGAGAGTATAAGCAATAATAGGAAGGAACAAGGGTTTTTGCTGGTTGAGATAAGGATAGCTATACAGGGCATTGACTCACATTGATTTCCTGTGCGTGGGTGTTACCTTCTAGGTTAATTCTTTTTGATCTCACCTTTTCTCTAGTACCTGTTCCCCTTTTCCTATTGGCCTCAGTTGCTTTAAGGTATCTGCTTTAGTTTCTCTGCGTTAAGAGCAACAAATGCTAGCTAGTTTTTTAGGTGTCTTACCTATCCTCACCCCTTCCTTGTGTGCTCTCGCTTTTATCATGTGCTCATAGTCCAATCCCCTTGTTGTGTTTGCCCTTGATCTAATGTCCACATATGAGGGAGAACATACAATTTTTGGTCTTTTGAGCCAGGCTAACCTCACTCAGAATGATGTTCTCCAATTCCATCCATTTACCAGCGAATGATAACATTTAGTTCTTCTTCATGGCTGCATAAAATTCCATTGTGTATAGAAGGCAGGCTACTTTAAGAATGTTTTCCTAGACATGTGGGAAAGATAGAGATGTCAGGGTATTTTTTCTATATTTCTATTTGTTTCATTTTTGGCAACAACAGAAACTTAACAAAGAACAGCTTAAGGAAAGTATATTTTTCTCAAGCCACATGAAGCTTAAGACTAACCAGTCCAAAATTCATATGCTGAAATCCTTGTTCCTAGGTGATGAGCTTTTGACTTCCAACTTCATCATCATCATTTTATGATTCTAAGAATAGAAAGACAGCTGCTGTTCCTCCAGCTGTTGGGTCTGCATTCCAGGTAGACAGAAGAGGAGATGATGGGACTCCCCCAGAGACTTCTGCCTGTCTCTCAGCAGTCAGAATTCCATAAAATAGTTTGCCATCTGCAAAGGATCTAGCAAAAGTAAGTATTAACCTGCAGCCTGTGGAGTAGAGCAAGAACCAGGGGGAAAGGTGTGGAACGGATCTCCCAAGGCTGATTCAAATCTCATTGCATCTGGCATTCAGCTCTAAGGGTGTTATTTCATTTGTTTATTTATTTATTTATTTATTTATTTATTTATTATTGGTGACAGCCAACAGCATCAATAGAGAGATCCATTGTGGTATAGCCACCCAGTGGAAAACATCGTCTTAATGTTGATCATTGAGCTCAAGAAACCCAGGCCAACTCAATTATACTGGTTAATAGCACACACCTTGATGGTACAACTACAAGGCAAGGAACAGAGCACATTGACAGAGCAACGGAGTTGTCCTTCCCAGACAGAAAAGAAGTCGGCAGGGCAGGATGTGCTTTCAGCGTTGGCCTCACGATTGTTCATAATCTCTACAGGTGATTCATGTTGCCTGCGCACTTCCGTTTTTAATATGGAAGGGAAAATGAAAGGCAAAGAACAGACACCAAAAAGTCAGCAATGATTGTGAGGAGCCCCTCTGTGTGTGCTACACTTGCAAGTGGAAATAAAATCCAGTAAATATTAATTGATATTTATGCTACTGTACAGCTATTACAATGACAAGATCTGAAACACAAATGACACTGTATGGGGACAAATGAGAGGGCAGACAAAATGTCAGAAGTGTCCCCAGGAACGAATGACAGAAATAACCCTGGGGGATGTAAAGTGACAAGTGACAGATGGCAGAAGTATCTTTGTTTTAGATAAAGGAGATAGGAAGGCATCTAGGGAGACGAGAAATCAGCTTTGCACACAGGTGCAGGGCACAGTAGTTTCTCTTCCTAGATAAGGAAAATAAGAGAAAATATTCCTAAAGGCAGACATCTAAAGGGATGGGATATAGCCCCTAAAAGGAGAATAACATAGCAAACTTTCCCAAGATAAACCAAAAGGGTCTCACCTGAACAATGAGCAATTGTCATAAAATGTGGGTGACAGGGTGGACTAACAGACCCTCTCAAAATGTCCAGCCTGATAAGGATGGGGGCAGGCAGATGGCTGGGTTCAGGAAAAAGTTAACCAAACAGCCAATTACAGCAATAGCTTCAAAGTAGGGGGGAGTGCCTAAAGTCAGCCCCTATTTAATCTCGTGAACGTCAGCCATCCTTTGCTTTAGCTCTCATGAAGTCCCATCCCTCAGGGTGCTTTGTTAACCTTTCAATAAACTTTGTACTTGTTTTACTCTTAACTCTGGCCCATGGTGTGAACTTGCTTCAACTCTTAACCGCTTGTCCAGAGCCGTCAATCATCGCCTGTGCCAGGACACAAACTCGGGGAATAACAATCCAGTCTGGTATCAACACCAAATGCTGGTGAAACTACAAATGGGCACAGCTACTTTGGAAGACAAATTGACAGTTTTTACAAAAGCAAGCATTCTCCTCCCATCCACTCCATCAATCCGGCCCTGGGATATTTACCCAAAGGATGTGTAAACTTCTGTCCACACAAAACCTGCACCCAGATGTTTTTAACTGCTTCATTCAGAATTGTCAAAACTTGGAACCTCTCAGCTGGGGCGGCGAGCGCTGCGGGAACCGCGGCCTGGGGTACGCGACAGACCCTGTGGAATGCAATGTCATCTGAGCCAGCAATGACTCCTGTGAACCAGATCCAAAAAACAATTTCTGATAACTGTGTAGTGATTTTTTCCAAAACATCATGCTCATACTGCGCTACAGCAAAACAGATTTTCCATGACATGAACGTCAATTATAAAGTTGTGGAATTGGACAAGCTTGACTATGGAAGCCAGTTTCAAGATGCTCTTTACAAACTTACTGGCGGAAGAACCCTCCCAAGAATATTTGTCAATGGAGCTTTTATTGGAGGTGCAGCTGATACTCACATACTCCATAAAGAAGGGAAATTACTGCCACTAGTTCATCAGTGTTATTTAAAAAAAAAAAGTAAGAGGAAAGAGTGTCGATACAGGCGCTCACCATGACTAGGAAATGCCAGTGAAAGTGATAATGCCTTAGACATGTTTGGAGCTGTTTTAAGTATATGAGTTATCTTCATAAAGATTAAAAATAATAAATTGTGAAAACCTCAAAAAAAAAAAACCAAAAAACTTGGAACCAACTGGATGTCCTTCAGACAATGGAATATTAGTCAGAGCTGGAAGAAGAATGAACAAAGGAACTTAAGCTTCTATACAAATAACCAAGTAAAAGAAGCCAAGCTGAAAAGGTTATGTACTGTATGAGTCCAATGATAGAACATTCTGGAAAAGCCAAAATTATGGAGACATTGAAAAGATCAGAGATTTGGGGGAGGGGATGAGTAGGTGAGCTCCAAGGATTTTTAGGAGTGGAATGATCCTATAGAATACAATAGTGCTGTGTCCATGCCATTGTACACTTATCCAAATCCATGGAACATGTACCACCAAGAGTGACCCTCACGTAGACTATGACACTGGGTGACAATGATGCATTGATGTTGACTGGCTTATAAATCATAGTAAACGTACCACAGTGGTAGAAGGTGTTGATAATGGGAGAGGGGAGTGTGCTTGGGGCAGGGGCAAGGAATGTTTAGGAACTCTTGCGCCTTCTGCTCAGTTACAGTGTGAGCTTAAAACTGCCCTAAAAACAAAGTCTATCAAGTGCAAAAACAACTCACGGAAAACCATAATGCTGAATAAATAAAACATGAAGACGACGATGTCTGGGGAGGTCCATGAGTGACTGTCAGGTACATGATGAGTTTGTTGACTTTCTGGTGCTCAAAGTCAGTACCATCCCTGGAGCAGAAGCTCTGGGGCCTGGACAGATGTGGGAACCCCCTGGAGAGCTTTGAAAACTCCCACAGTCTGGGAAGTAATCAAGCTAATTAAATCCAAATCACTAGGGAGAAACACAAGTGTCAGCGCTTTTCAAGGACCTGTGATTCCATCGTCTCCTGGGTCAATAACCAGTCTCTAGGTAATCGAATCGTGGGAATTTGCCCTTTTTTAATATTTGTCATCATTTTGTGTGTGCACATGCACTAATGGCTCCTTATGGGCCAACTTTCTCCCCACAATTATTGGGAAGGACAGGAAAAATTAAGAAAGAATATCTGTATAATTAGAAATGCCTTTGTGACCAAGGACAAGATGGAGAGCTTCTTTTTATTGCCAAACGCATTTCCCCCAATATTTCCATTTTGCTGAGTTTTGTTAGCATAATGACATAGTTGTCACGATTGAGTAACAGCTTACTTGACCATATCTTTCTTATCATCTTTCATCTTTCTGGTCTTGCATCGTCTATTGAGAGGACTGTCTTTCTGCACCTTTGCTTCTTACTGGAACCATGAAGATCCAAGAAATGCCTGGAAAAGTAGGCTGGTTTATGCAGAATTGGCTTGCAGGGGTGGCAATGTTGAGTAGTGGGAATTTTGGTACATGGGAAGGCTGTTCAAAATCAACTCACTGTAATTGTCGGTGGCCAAAATTTGACATAAATGTACATTTTTCCCTAAAATTTCCAAATCCTCACTAATTTTTGAAAGCCCTAAGACACCAGGATTATAAATTTTCATTGTTTCTTATGTTTACACAATTTTGTAAACTTTAGTGGCCTCTTTGGAGCTAAAATTGTTGTGTTGCTGTAAAATATTGTTCATACAGCTGAATGTTAGATATGCTATAACACGTGATGCATTTGGGGAGGTAAGTTCTTCACACTTGCAGTGCTCTCTACTTTCTAGTGTCTCCTTTGAAAGTTTTACAGAGCACTGTGGACAAATGGTTTTTTAAAGTCAACACAAAAGGTTATATTGTGAAAGTTTCTGTCCATCCCAAGCCTCGGTTTCCCTCTTCCAGGAAAACTCTCTGCTCAGCTCCCACACACAGACAGGAAGCAGATTATCCTCAAGTTCGTTTCTACATCCAGTCAGACTGTCGTCAGCAGTATAAACAGATATCCCCTTGTAAGCAAGTGCTTTGGTTTGAATATGGTGTGTTCCTGACACAATCCATATTGAAATGTCACTGCTGACATTATGGTACAGAGGTGGTAGGGCCTGTAAGAGGTGTTGGGTGGTAAGGTCAAACACCTAAACAGGAGTTCAGCCCCTTTTCTCTCTTCCATACCTGTCCACCTCCTTTTTCCCACCTCATTAAAACAAAACATGAGACCCTTTCCAGATACAGCTGCTTGATTTTGAACTTTCCAGTCTTCAGAACCATGAGCCAAGACAAACCTCTTTTCTTTACACATAATCCAGTCTCAGATATTCTGTTACAGCAGCAGAAAACAGACAAAGACAGCAAGATATCAAAAAGTTTGCCTCCCGTGCACCTTTTTCTCTGGAAAAATCTACAGAAGGGTAGATGATGCCCACATCAGAGTGCAACCCAAGAAGAAGGAAGACACAAACTCCAAGTATAAAGGGATGGAGGATGGCAGCAGGCCTGCAGATCTAGCCGGGAGGTGAAGCATGCCCTCAGAATGGCTCCAGAAAAAGTTACAGTGGAAAATTATCCATGTGAAAAGTGGAGCTGTCAGGCAGTTGAATGGGAAGGGAAGAATTATTGATGAATACATAGAAAAAACTCAGCAAGTGAAAAGTAAATATTAATGTCAATGGAGTAGGAGGAACTTTTGCAGACAAAATGCAACAACCAGAGCACCTTGCTTTTCCTGGTGATTAGCAGTAAGATTGTAAGCAGCAAATCAGATTTTTCCAAACTGTGACATAATTGGCAGAGGGGAGAGGCGAGAGGCACAGGTGGCTGATCCTCAAGGGAGGAACAGGAAGTCAGTAGAGCATGGCTGAGGTAATGCAAGAAGACAACAATGTAAGTGTGTCATTCAGAAAGACAGTCACGTGCAACACGATGATGTTTCAGTCATCAGTGGACTGCCTATACTCTAGTCCCAAAAGATTATAGTGCAACTGAAAAAACCCTGATGCCTAGAGCTATCAAGCCATTGTAACATCATACACACCACATTACTCACTGTTTGTGGAGATGCTGAGATAAACAAACCAACTACACTATCAGAAAGTATAGCACAGGGCTGGACATGGCTAGGCACATCTGTAATCCCAGCTGTTTGGGAGGCAGAGGTGGGAGAATCTAGGTCCTAGGCTAGTCTGGGCAAAAGTGAAACACCCTATCTGAAAAATAAATGAAAGCAAAACGGACAAGTGGTGTGGCTTAAGTGGTAGAGCACTTGCCTAGGAAGGGTAAGGTTCTGAGTTCAAACCCTAGTACCACCAAATATAATAGAGGGTGAACTTGTTGAAAGTATACTGAATGCATCCATGGAACTGTCACAACAAAACCCATTTGTACTATAAATGTATCCTAACAGAAATACACGCACATACAATTATGAACAGTCCATCATATTCGATGACAATAAACAAATGACTATGTTACTGGCTTATGTATTTACTACACCATATCTTTATCATTATTTTGGACTGTACTTCTAATTATAAAAAATGCTCATGCTTAAAAGGTATGCTACGTTATGGTGGGGACAGCCTCAAACATCTCACGTCTCAAACAACCATGTCGTTTGATTGCCACATCAAGTGAGAGCTGTACCATCTAGGTGGGTGGGTGTGCACTCTAAGATTCACCTAACCACACATTTCTCTATACATATCCATGTTGTTTATCAACCCATGACGGTGCAGAGATAAATCCCACAAGGAACAGCATAGCGGGGTCAGGCCTGGGGAGGGAGGACTGGATCAGAGAAACATTGTGATTCACTAAAGGCCGTAGAGCATCCTTGACATTTTACACAATGGGTATGTCTTATTTCAATTAAAATAATTAATTTTAAAAATTCCTCCCGTAGGAAAAGTCACATAAATTTAAAAGTATAATTTAAATGTTCACTCATAGAAATAGGAGATCCACCTGAATTTAGAAATAATACTGAAAATCTTCAAGGTGTTTCAGCATCCTAGTTTCAGAGCTAACAATTTCCAAGAACTCCTGCCGACTTCTCTTAATGAGCCCCTTGGAAGGCAGCAGAGTGATTTCAGTAATAAGGACAGGACATCTTAGGAGGGAATAAAAAGACGCATTTCAGTCAAGGTTCATTTCTTATTCCTGCTAAGTCCCACGTCAAGGTCTCCTCCACAGAGAGGATAGGTGAGGCTTGCTGGCCCTCCACTGCCTCCTGTCCTGGGTCACTGGCCAGAAGGAGTAATTGCAAGGGTAGGTCGGGAATCCACTGTCGTTCTCTGTCTTTGTAGACTAGCTCACAAGGCATTGTTTATCCAGAAGTGGGCAAGGAAAGACAGTAGAGTGCTATTGACAGTGAGGAAGGAACACATATGCACCCTTCACCACCACCCAAGGAATTAAGAGTTCCGATGCCATCGTCTCTGAGAAAGCATGCCGTCAATCATTAACAGGATCTCCAGAGGCAGAGGTGTGTGCCCTTGGCCAAACCCAAGATGAGTAAACACACTTATTGCCAATATATCAAATTATTACCAGGAAAATTTTTCTTACCACTTATTTTGTTTTCAAAGATTAACCTAAGGGCTATCAGTTGAGTGGCAAACTGAATAGAAGGTTATAGGGCACCTGTCTCCTCTCATGCCTTGGACTGTGACCAGGTGAGTGGTCATGTGCCCACCTGTTGACAGCAAAATGATGCTTCCAGAAGATCTTGTCTTGCGTCCCAGCGTGGAAGAATCCAAACAAAACACGTGGATGTAAACGGGATTATTAAAAGTTAGGAAAGGAAATACAAAGGGGACACAGGTGGAGTCCCCCGGCAGAGAGAGCATCCTTTTCTTTTGCAGATGCTTTTAAAACCTACACTCTCCCGTGAGATTCCCGACCCAGGAGATCCCCACCCAATAATGAATGAGTGGGGAGGAGCAATGGCAGTTCCCAGCCAGGTGAGAATGGTCTGTGACAGAACAATAATGTCACCATTTGTAAATCAGCGGCCATTTTATCCTCAGACCTCACTTGAG